GAAGACAGTTTCATCCTCATGCACAGCAACCATGGACACATCTTTTGGCTCATCAGGGTCTTCTGAATCACTTGAATAATCCCCCCATGCCGCAAGAGCCTTTTTGACAACCATATCAGCAGCAGCTTTACGATCTCTATTACCAAGTACCAGGTCCCTTCTATTTTCTTTGTCACTCTTGTGTTTTTGATGTTCCTTGTTTTCATTCTTGAGCAAAGGACACTCTCTGATGAAGTGCCCAGATTTTCCACACTTGTAGCAAGTATCACCTTGAACAGCATTTCGAGTCCCGTTTGTTCCTCTTTTATAAATTTTGTTTTTCCTCACAATTTTTTGAGATCTACTGATGAGATATGCCATATCATCATCATCACTTGAATCTTCATCTGATTTATACTTCAGCATCAATGACTTGTCCTTCTTGGCTTCCTTCTTTGACAAGTCATAGTTTCGATTCATCTCATGTGTTTTTAGATTACCAATCAAAGAATCCATAGTCAGCACCTTCAAGTCCTTGGCTTCTGTAATGGCATCAACTTTGCTCTCCCAAGACTTTGGAAGAATTTGAAGCACTTTCCTGACTTGTTTGGTCATGCTTATAGGTTCACCCAGACTTCGCAGCTCATTTGTAATTGAAGACAACTTGGTGAACATGTCATGTATTGTTTCTCCTTCCTTCATTTTGAAGTTCTCATACCTTGAGGTAAGCATGTCAATCTTAGATTCTTTGACTTGTTCAGTTCCTTCATGAGCAGTCTTCAAGCAGTCCCAAGTTTCCTTTGCAGACTCACAGGCTGACACTCTGTTGTACTCATCAGGTCCTATACCACAGACCTGAAGAGTTTTAGCTTTGAAACCTTTTTCAATCTTTTTCCTGTCAGCATCATCATATTTCTGCCTAGTCTTTGGAACAGTAATGGTCTTCTCTCCATCCTTTTCTTCCATCATTGGAACAAATGGTCCATCTAGTACAATATCCCATAACTCGCTGTCTTCAGCCATGAGGTAGTCATGCATTCTAACTTTCCACCAACTATAGAAATGTCCATTGAAACGAGGAGGTCTGTGTGATGACTGACCTTCTTCGAGGATAAGTGGAGCTGCCATTCTAAAACAAATATCACTTTCTTGGTGTTAACCAAATAGAAAGTGCCTGCTCTGATACCACTTGATAGAATATGAGCCTTCACTTAACAAGTAATGGACCAGGTCCCTTACTACACTCCAGAAAAATACCAGAAACTTAAATGCAGTAAAATCAACACAATGATTTTACGTGGAAACCTCCTTGCTTAAGGGAGTAAAACCACGACCTGTCTCACAGGATTTTCAATCGTTTTCACTAATCTTCAAAAGCAAAAGTAAAACACGATTACACCAAACGTAAGAAAGAGTTATCAATCTTACCGTTAAGCAATAGCCCTCTATTGCTTAACAAGCCTAAGTAGAAAACAATCTACCCACTAAGCTATCCCACCTGGACAACCTAGACTTTAGACACAACACACCAATTCCTTTATAGATTCAGGAATGGTTTACAGTTTAAGAACAAGAGAATGTATTCCTAAACAACTAAACGAAAAGCTCCAGATATTGCTGTTGTTCTTGGAATAATTCTGCCTTTGCTTTGTAGTAGCCTTTGCAAGAGTTCTTGAAAAGTTTTTATCAAGTTTAAAAAACTAAGCCAAAAATGTTTAGGAAAGTGCCTTTTATATGAGCAAGTCACTTTTCCAAACTTCTTTGCCATTGGCTGGAAAAGTCACACTTTCTAACGCCATTGGGAAGTGTGCACCTACTTTCTGTACCGTCTCCAGCTGGCAATCAACTGGCTCCTCATCATGAGATGTTGGTACCTCTACTAGGTCCCTGAGTTTGTTTCATCTGCAATACTCAAGCAAGAACCCTGCAACAGACAATTAAGAAACTGATACCTTTACAAGGTCCCCAGGTTTGTCAAATCATCAAAACTACAAATAACACTACCATTATAGGAAAAAGCATCAATCATACTGCTGCTTCGGCCCATATTCTCAATCTTCAATATAGGATTGGCAATATGAAACTAAAGACACTAACAAAGAAGACTAATAGATCATATTCGACAATTGTTATGCGTTTTTGAATATTTTATTTATTAAAATATCCATTTACGCAAACATTGTTACTGTTGTAGTAGTGATGAAAAAATTATAAAATTTTATGGTGGCTAAGTGCTAACATTAGTTAGGCTAATTAGGATTTTGCCCTTTTTGGTGGCTTAATTTTCTAACTAGTTAGTTTGCTCATTTTTTTTACTTTCATATTGATCTCTGTTTCATTTTTAATTGTTAATGTAACAATACCCCAGTCTAGCAAGTGAAAATGTTTTTTCAGTAGTAAATAAAACAACACTGACATAGTTCACCCATGCACTTAGACAATAGGTGTAGAACACATAAAAATTAAACCAAAAATGCGAATGGAAAATAAAATTTCAAATAAGAAAATAATTAAAAAAATAAGAAAAGAAAAGAGACCTAATCCAGCATCCTTTTCACCATTGAGCTGGTCCCAAAGACCTTGCTGAACCGATCTATAGCTGCCGAGATATTTGGCATCCCCTCCTATCCTCTAACCATCCATCTATTGAATTGACCTTTCTTGCTCCGCGACTTGGTTGATCAATAATTCCATCTAATGTAACAGTGTAATGAGAAAAGAGTTGTTACTTAGGTAACTGGAGTTAGTTATTACAAATAACAGTTGGGAAAATCTGTTAGATTAGTTAGTTGTTAATACTTTAATTAAAGTTGTAAAACCTATATAAAGTAGAAGTTTTAGTTATTGTTGTTATCAATTCAATTCATTTTGTAATCCTTTCTAGTAAGATAAAATTGAAGATGATTTTCTTCTAGAATCTTCTTCATTCTGTTCAGGTGTTCAATTCTATTGTTTCAACATGGTATCAAAGCAATCAGCCATTAATATTGTCTGAATTGAAGCTTAGCAAGGTGAAATTGAAGTTGTTGTTGAGTCCAACAATGGCTGTTACAGTTGACAACGAATTGCCGGAGAAACTTAGTCACAATCACCCTCTTTTTTTGAGTACTACAGATACTTCTGGAGTTGTATTGATCTCTATTCAGCTTACAGGTTCTGAGAATTATTCTCTATGGAGCAGGTCGATAAGAATAGCCATACTTAGAAGAAACAAGTTGGGGCTAATTGATGGAAAGTGCAGGAAGGATGGATTTGGTCCTAATCTGACTGATTTATGGGAGAAATGCAATGCAATTGTTCTTTCATGGATCATAAATTGTGTTTCCAAGGAGTTATTGGGTGGAATTATTTACTCTATAGATGCATGCTCTGTTTGGCGAGATCTCAAGGAGAGATTTGATAAAACGGATGGGTCACGGATCTTTCAATTACATAGAGAAATCGTCACTTTGGTACAGGGTACAAGTACTATAGCAGAGTATTTTACAAAATTGAGATTGTGTTGGGCAGAATTTAATTGCATCGCATCTTTTCCTGGTTGTAATTGCACGGAATCACGAGGTTTTGCAGAATTTATGAAGCAACAGAAGCTGTTGCAATTTTTACTGGGTCTTAATGAGACTTATGAGCAGGCTCGAATTCAGATCTTGATGTTAGTTCCCCTTCCTTCTATCAATCAGGTCTATTCAATGATGATTGAAAGAGAAAGCCAACAGGTCATAGCAAATTCAGCTAGTAATGTTGCAAATCTGGAAATAGCAGCACTTATGACTGCTTGTCAAGTTCCTAGCAAGTTTAAAAGGGATTGGAATGCTCAGTGTGATCATTGCAAGACGATGGGTCATACTAAATCCAACTGTTATCGGTTGATTGGATATCCTTCCAACTTCAGGTTCAAGAAGAAAGTTGGGAAGCCAAATGGTCCTAAGGAAGGAGAGAATCGAAGTCATGCTCACAATGTGAGGAATGAGGAAAGTCGATCACACAATGATGGAGCACAGGCTCGAGCTGCTCACGTGAATTTTTGTAATGATCCAGGTTACAATAACTATTCTATAGCTGATAATCTTCATGCTGATTGGAATAGATGTTCAGGATCCCACATTCCTTCACATCAACACCCTAAGATGATGCAGCAATATGATAAGTCATCACATCTCAATCAGTCTAACATCGGAAAGCACAAGGCTGATGATGTACCAAAATCTTCCTCTTCAAATATGTGCAGATTATCTGATTCAATGAACATGGGAGGTAATTTTTCTATTTCGCCTTTGTATGAGAGTACCTTCACAGATAAAGTATTTGCTTCCTATGCATGTAATGATGATAAGGAATGGATAATAGACACGGGTGCATCCAACCATATGATCTCTCATAAAGAAATGTTAAATTCTAGGAAGCATGTTACTATTTATAATAAACATGTATATTTGCCAAATGGAGGGATTGTAGAGGTATCATATATTGGTAGTTGTGAATTTATGGATGAAAGATCTGTGAAAAATGTTTTATACATTCCAGATTTTAGATATAATCTACTTTCAGTATCTCAGATCACTAAGGAACTATAATGCTCAGTTCATTTTTCCCCGACTATTGTGTGTTCCAGGACCTCTCAAGTGGGAAGGTACTGGAGATTGGTGAAGAAAAGAATGGCATCTATTTGATGAGTTACAAAGGGAGTGGTATTGATTGCTCACCAAAAGGGATGGTTGCTTCCAAGAATAAGCTGGACATCCTTCTTTGGCATAGAAGGATGGGTCGTGCCTCTGTTGGAACTATGAGTCATTTTTTAAATATTGATCCTAATGAATGCAAAATAATTTTAGACAGGTGTGATGTGTGTCCACTAGATCGACAAACTAGATTACCTTTTCCTAATAGTGAGAATCGATCTTCTTGTATTTTTGATTTGTTGCACTTGGATGTATGGGGACCATTTCGTGTTTCTACCTTTGATGGTTATAAAATGTTTCTGACTGTTGTGGATGATCATTATCGTAAGACTTGGATTTTTTTTTGAAATTAAAGAGCGATGTGGTGGTAGTATTGAGAAATTTTTTTCAGCTAGTTAGTACACAATTTGGAAAAAGAGTCAAAGTATTGAGATCAGATAATTGCACTAAATTTGTCAATTCTAATTGTCATGCTTTATTTACATCTCTTGGTATTATACATAAAAAAACATGTGTTTACACACCACAACAAAATGGGGTGGTAGAGAGAAAACACAGATACATTTTAGAACTGGCCAGGGCTATCAGATTCCAGGGTTCTATACCTATTAAATACTGGGGTCATTGTGTGCTTGGGACTGTTTACATGATGAACAGGTTGCCATCTACAACACTCGACAACAAGTCTCCTTTTGAAGTTTACCATGGTGTTAAAGGTTCCTTAACACACCTTAGAACAGTGGGTTGTTTATGTTACACTAAGTGTTTACCTCCTGGTGATAAGTTTGAAGCCAATGCTGTTCCTGCAGTACATATGGGTTATTCTGAAGTTACAAAAGGCTATGTGTTGTATAATCTAGTAACTCACAATTTTTTCATATCTAGGGATGTTAGTTTTAGAGAAGATTCTTTTCCTTTCCAGAATACATCTTCCTCTCCTACTGTTTTCCTAGACATATCTGTAGACATTGATGATCCTCCTATTAATGACTCACATTTGTCTCCTCAACATGATGTTGTTCCTGCTATCCCAGACATTATTCCTGATATTGTGGTTGATGATGTTTATATTCCTACTATGTCTGTTGATATTGAACCTATGCCTTTGAGGCAGTCTCAGAGAGTTAGGAAACAACCTACATGGATGACTGATTTTGTTACACATGCTGCTTCCACTTCATTACATCGTCCTTTATCTCATTGTTTGCATTATGCTAATGTCTCCTCACAATGTCAGTCATATTTGTGTGCTTTCTCTAGTGTCACTGAGCCTAAGTCTTACAAGGAAGCATGCTCAGATCCTAGATGGATTTCAGCTATGCAAGAAGAGATCCAAGCACTTGAGGCAAATAAAACATGGCTTATAGTATCCTTACCTTGTCACAAGAAACCTATTGGTTGTAAATGGGTTTATAAAATAAAGTTTAAGGCTGATGGTACAGTGGAGAGATATAAGGCTAGATTAGTTGCCAAAGATTACAATCAGAGGGAAGGTCTTGATTATCAAGATACATTCTCACCTATTTTGAAGATGGTCACAGTGAGAAGTGTTTTATCAATTGTTGCAGCCTCTCATTGGCATATACATTAGATGGATGTGTATAATGCATTTTTACAAGGTGATTTGAATGAAGAAGTTTACATGTCTTTGCCTGAAGGTTTTTCTAGCCAGGGGGAGACTTCAGGAATGGTATGTAGGCTAGTAAAATCATTCTATGGATTGAAACAGTCAAGTAGACAATGGAATGTTAAATTGACTGATGCATTGGTTTATCTTGGTTTTAATCAGAGCAGCCAAGATCATTCATTATTTACAAAGAGACATCGTACAGAAATAGTAGTGATCTTGGTATATGTAGATGATATGTTGATAGCTGGAAATGATTTGGTGTTAATAGAGCACACCAAACAAGAATTACATGCTAGATTCAAGATTAAGGATCTTGGAATTTTGAGATATTTCCTTGGTATAGAGTTCAGCAGATCAGATAAAGGCATACTAATGAACCAAAGGAAATATGCGTTGGAATTTATAGAGGAGATGGGATTGAGTGCAGCTAAACCATCTTGGACACCTCTGGACATCAACTTGAAGTTAACAAATACATTGCTAGATAAAGCTATGAATGTTACAGATGATCATGTGTTGGAAGACAAGGGTCCACACCAAAGATTGATCGGAAGATTATTATATTTGACACTAACTAGGCCTGACATTGGGTTTGCAGTACAAACTTTAAGTCAGTTTTTGCAATGTCCAAAGAAATCACACATGGAAGCAGCCCTCAAGGTGGTAAGATACATAAAAAGAGAACCTGCAATGGGAGTTTTGATGAGCAGCAAGAAAGACAAGGAATTAATAGCCTTCTATGATGCAGATTGGGCAGCATGTCCAAATACAAGAAGATTAGTGACAGGGTTCTTAATCAAACATGGAGAGTCTTTGATTTCTTAGAAGTCAAAGAAACAAACGATTGTATCAAAGAGTTCAGCCAAATCAGAGTATAGAAGCATGGCTTCTACTATATCAAAATTGGTTTGGATCATTGCATTATACAAAGAATTAGGGGAAGAAATACATCTACCTGTGAAGCTCTTTTTTGATAGCAAAGCAGATTTACAGATAGCAGCAAATCTAGTTTACCACGAAAGAACAAAACATATTGAAGTTGACTGCCATTTCATCAGAGAAAAGATACAAATGGGGTTGGTTCAAACACTATATCTGGGGACGCAAGATCAACAAGCAGACATAATGACAAAGGGGTTGGCAAGAGCACAACATGAACATTTGGTTTCCAAGCTGGGAGTTTTGAATAGATTCACACCCACCATCTTGAGGGGGATTTGATACGCTCAAACTTACTTATCAAATAAGAAGTAAAGCAGTCGTGTCAAGTAAATAAGCCAACAAGTGAGGTTGGGATCGTTCCCACGAGGAAAATAGTCTAGACTTAACTTCAACTTGTTATTACTATTGTTTGGTCAATGACTTCCTTGGAAAGTAAAAACATAAAAAGGGGGGTTTCTATTTCTAAATGAGTGAAAATAAATAACGAACTTGAAAGAGACACTTAACAACTTTGACAGTTAGATTTTAATCAACTAATTAAAGTAACTAGGGTTTACGTGTTCCCCACAGGTTCATAACTTGATAATTCTAACTATAACAATTCTTTCCTAGTATCTTGCATGCAAAGTGATAAGTTATGTATTTCTAAATCCTTGGTCCGGCATCAGAAATCTCACTTCCGCACCTTGGTCTGGCTACATGTGTTGCTATCCTAACCCTTATCCTTACCTCATATTAAGTATCATATTCGATATTTGACTAAGTTATTACCTCGTACCAATCAATACTAGCCTATTAGATAGTATACACTAAATCTATGTTAATAATTCTTTTCCTATTATCTACCTCCTTGGTCCGGCAAGTAGCCTTAAGGCGAGTTCTAATGTTGTCCATCCGTTAAAAAGACTTCTAAGTGAAAGAATTATTAATACATGCAAGACACTATTCTAGAATTGTTATTTTAGTTAGGGTTAATCTCATTATTTGCCTATGGTTCCCACAACCCTAGTTATGGAGTTTAGTTACTCATGGCCATAAACATAATATTCAAATATATTAAATAAGAGTTCATGTACTTACTTCAATGAGAAAGAGTAAAATCCAAAAGTTTGCTTGATTAATCACCAAAAATCACGTGCAAGAATATCCAAATCTAACACTGATACACAAAGTCTAATAATATGATGTCTAACAATACGGAGTCTAACAATGTAAGAGTCTAACTATCCAGCGTCTAACCTCAAAAACGAGGTTTTTTGAACTATTTATAGAAAATTAAAACCTAATTAAACAAGGACTCTGTTTGCTGGAAATCTGCCAAAACGCGGCTGGGTTGACGGACCTCGCGACGGATCGTCATGGTCACGATGTACCGTCATGGACTCCGTCGTCCCATACTTATGCAATCTCTTCTGATGCTTTTCTTCATTACCCTCGACGACAAGTATGACGGACCTTCATAGGCACAACGGTCCGTCGAGAGCCTTCGTTTCAAAACACTTCAACTCTTGGAATATGGGTACTGGGATCACTTCTCTAAACTTCATGACGAACCTGCAGGACAGACCGTCATAGATGCGACGGACCGTCGCATGCCTTCGTAACCCCACACTTGGTCAGACTTCCCCATCTTCCTTCAGTAGCTGCACTACGCTGCCACCTACGGACCGTCACAAGCACGACGGACCGTCATAAGCTCCGTAGGTGGTTTCTTCTGCATTTCTTCACTCAAAATCTCCGCATTCAGCTTTGGACAGATTTCCTGCAAAACAAAGAGAAACTTATATAAAAATTAGCACAAAAAAGGCTTTTGGACACACTAAACTTAAGGAAAAAGTATTAATTATACCGTGAAACCACGGTATATCAACACCCTCAACTTAAATTCGTTGTTTGTCCTCAAGCGACGTACTATGACTCACTACACAATCTTTGTACAATAGTATCCATGTTTTATCCTTTGCAATCATTTCGATATCAATCCCGATTAATCTCATCAAATCTATGCCTTCTATCACTATTAGGCTTGAACTATGTGGGATCAGAACATGACACAGACTCGCCATGCATTAACACCTATCCTCTTCAACTTCTCACTAAGGTGCTAACAATTCTGGTATTGCAACTAGTGTCCTCACTTCAAAACAAAATCCTCATTTTTCACACAATGATTTCAATTTTAGTATAAGGATTACTTTTCAACACTCGCTCTCAGAACAAAGTCACACTCATTCATACCTATTGCCATAAGCTTGCCCTTATTTTCACTGCCTTAAGTTCGCTATACAACCCTTAGGATCACGATAGGACTTTCTTGGCTTGTAACATAGGCTCAGGGTCAGGTAGGGTATATTTAGGTATACTTTAGTGAATTTTTGCCCTCCTTGACATATCGTCTAAACCTTCCACTTTCTATCATTTTATCTTGCCCAGTTTATCATATTCTTTCACCTTGCTATTTTCTCTTCTTTCTTCATTTGTGTAAGTGACTCTCTTCTTTTCTTGCTTGTATTTCTTGTATATTTTTCTTTTTCTTCACTTTTCTTTCAACTAATTCTTGAGTCACTTTACTTTTGTTCTTTCTCTCTATTTGTTCTTTTAACCCCACTTTCCAGAGCATTCCTCATAATAGCCACCCTCAACTCATGGCTTTGCTATGAGTCAAGGTACACAATACCCAAAATTGGGTCAGGGCCATAATGAAGGTTGTTTACTACATTAGCCACCCTCAACTTATGCTTTTGGCATAAGATGAGGTGCACATGTCCAAGGAGAGACCAGTGCCACCACATTGTTCCCAGAAAAGATCAGTTGGGATGAAAAAGAAAGGTCTAATTTAAGCTCAGATTATTTGGATCAAAGAAGGATAAATTTCATTTGATTTATTTTATTTAGTTTAGAAATGGGCTATATTGAATAAAGGCTTATGATCCTTTCCTAATTGTCTATTACAACTTACTTTTAGCAGGACTAACCAGGCAAGTTCTAGCTCAGTACCAATAGTGGACTTATTCGAATTTTCCTCACACTCACTTGTCATCTCATCACTATACCAGATTATCAGACACCTAGTTCGAATTTAAGACTTAGGGTAATGCAATGGTGTAACTTTATGTCATGCTTAGAGCCACACAATTATCAGTTACTATGCCTAGTCATCCATCATTTTCCACTATATCAGGATATCATTTTAGCCATTATGCTTCAGAATTAAACTATGTACAAAAGATATAAACATGCCGGTTCAACAGAAAAGTAATCAATCTTTTGGGGAAAAAGAACACAGGCAAGAAAACCCCAAAAGAGGATAGTGAGTTGGGCTACTTAGACTTCACCCTAATGCTCACTTTCAATTTACCCCACCGCCAACAAAAAAACATGCAATTGTCCCCAATGCATAAAAATCTAAATACTAGAGTGGTAGGTGAAACAAACCTGTGGCGCAAAGCGCCGTTGATCAGCAAGATGGTGGGTTCGGTTCCTCGAAACCCACGTCCTCTGCAATCAGGACACCCTCAGTGGTGTTCTCAGAAACAACTGCACCATCAGTAGAGCCTCCTGCTATCTCCACAGTGCGGGAGCTATACGCCCCAGCCGCTAACTCTGATGCTCTCATTTGGTGCGCCTCCTCCTTAGCAAGTGAGGCTCTCCTCGCAGCCTCTATCTCTCGGTGCTCCTTCTTTCGTGCTCACGCCTCATCCTCTATTCAACCTCTACGCCTCTTGGCACTCTCTCGAGGGGGAGGTGGAGGAATTTCTGAAGTAGCAAAAGGGGCCTCCAACACTGTGTCCTCAGCAGGCTCGACAGAAGGGGCCTCAGACTCCGGCACCCTAGCCTCTAAGATCGTGTCGATGTCTGCACGAAGACTGTCGACTGCAGCCTGAAGATTCGACACATCCACCAGAGGGGATAGTCGGGCTAGCACCCTCAACTCAAAGGCGTCCAAGCGCTGGTTAACATCAGCAATCTTCCGCTCTGTAAACTGGACCATTTTCCTCTCTAGGCGCTCTTCTAAGTCA